ATGCTGCACTTGTAGAGTCCTTCATCAGACTTGGAGACATTTTTGATGGTCATGCTGCTTTGATACCGGGTCGCAAGAGATAAACCATCTTTGTAGAAGTCAGTTATGTGTTCTGACTGAGTTTTCTTGTTTGTACAATTTAGGGTCACCTCATTTCCCTCCTTCACAGGGCAGGTTGGACTTTCCAGGATTACAAAACCAGCTGGGAAGTGATTAGAATATATTTTATCAGTTAATTTTTAACATGTTTTAGTAAAGATCTCACTATGGAAAATTAGATTTTTATGAAAAATGCTAAAAAAAAAACTAAAGTAGGTCCTGACTTGTATTATAGACTCTGCTGGTTAATAGGTTTTACTCTGTACCCTTAACTACTTTTGTATCTCTTGTTAACAGATATTATTGAGTATTAGTGCATTGATGAGTATAAAAAATGTTCTTCATATACATGTTGATTGTCCCTTTATAGGGGAATATTTTAAAGAAATGTTGCCATATATTGTCAGTGGACATTAGTAAGGTTAGTAACATATAAATATAAATAAAGCATATAGTCACCCAACATACCAGTGACAGAAATGTTCACAACCTCACTTCGTTCTCCCTTTTCATTTTCACACCAGTATTCTCCACTGTGTCTTTCAAAGAGGGGAGAAATTGTGCAGGGTGATGCTGATATATTCAATGTGAGGGAAGCGTTTGCTATTTTATGGGATTTCCACTTCACGCTCCATTCACCGATGCTGTTATCTTCCTCACAATGTACAGAGACATTATCGTATTCAAAGAACTGACACCTGTCTGGAACAACGCGAGCAAAAACTGCACCTGAGACAGAGATATGAAGAAGGAAAGCAATCAAATGAATTATCTGTACTTAAAATAAGAAAAAAAATCTTTCAAAATGTGTTAGTATTACAAAATAAAAAAAAAATAAAACTGCAAAGGCAGTGACGTTATTTTCTAGGCAGGATCTGCTTGTGTTAAAAAAATGCAGACCATTAAAGACTACAGTTTCAGAGCTTCAAACAGTTTTGAAGGTAGTTGAAATCTAAAATTACACTTTATATCAGGAAGAAACTGCTTCTTACTCACCAGCAAAGTTACTGTGGTCAGCTTGTACGGCCATCATCACTAAAACAACAGTCACTGAAGAGACAAATGGAATTTTGTGCATCAGACATATGTGATTGCTATTGAATGATTAATTAGTAGAATTAATTGGTATTAATTAATATATTAATTAATTATTTGGTAGAATCAGTACTTATAAAGTCGGATACTTAGAGCTGCAGCCTCCATAATCTCTTGCTGTTGACAGTGAGAACACTGGACTGAAATACAGCAAAGATAGAATGTAGGTTGGGACTTCCTCTTCCTGTTTAATGTATTGCTGATGTTGATGGTGTAAGTAGAAATATATATTACTGCTATACACTAATAATGTTAAATGTCACAGATGTGACCCATTCTCTGGCTATTTGTTACTTTTTGGGTGAGTAAAATTATTTAATTAATTAAATAATTCATTCATTATTGTCATTTTTGTTTGTTTGTTTTTAGAGTTCCAACTCAAGCATTTCAAAACAAAGATACTTGGACTAATGGGGGATGTAACTGATTACATAGCAGATTAAATCCAAGATAAAAAAAAAAAACTACCCATAACTAATCTTCATTCCTCTGCATTATAACACTCAGTAAGGGCTGTTTTCCTCTCCCTTCGCTTTTTGTTAGTTTCACTCTGCCCTCTGCTGTTAGCCATTTTACACTCCTCAGTACATATATTATTTACAGATCAAATGAACATTGAACCTTATAAAGTACAAGGGGTGTAACAATAGTCTGATAAGGCAGAATTTATTTTCTCTATCATGCCATCAAGTTTGTCATAAGTGCCCCAAGGTCAACTTAAATCTTCAAACACTAAGATTACCTAAGATTAGACATCACAAATATGGAAGTAAAAACGATTTTACTGGAGAACTTTGGCCTTAAATTTAACTGAGTCCGACATAAGCAGAGGTCGGCTTACTTGTTCATGTATACTGAGATATTTATAATTAGAGCTATTTGCATTAAATATTAATTGGGCTGTCTTCTATACATGATTTCATTGATGCCAGATATCTTATTTCTTTTCAGTGTACACTTCCAAGGTGGTGGGTTTTACAATTGCTGGACTGATTGCAGGTGGTTTGATAGTTGGTATCATAAGGAAATCTACACCTAAGTCTCAGCTCACGTAGTCATAAAGCTCCATATTTTACTTTAAAACACAAGTGAATTGATGATATTGTAGTTAAATGGTGTTGACATAAATAAATGCTGAAAAAACAAAATGTTTTCATGTGGTTTATTGTTTTACAGTGGAATAAAATACTACGAAAGAAAATTTACTATACTGCAATATCATTTACTCCTTGCATATTTGCAAAGAGTAAATAATATTTGCATATTTGTGCATTTCATCTTTTGATTGACATGTCTTGTTGTTGTTTCTGTTGTTGCTGTAGTGAAAAAAAAATATGGAGAAATTGGAAAATCAGAAAAAACAACTCAACGGGGAACTTCAGGAGATGAGGAAGAACCAGTAGGAAAACAAAGACAAGCTTCAGTCAGCGGAGACAAATTAGTAATGGAAAAACAAAACCTGTTACACGCTCAATGGACACTGGATGAGAAAAAGAATTGTGACAGAGAAATACTGAACAGAGACAAGTTGGTGGATCTGACAAAGGGGGTATTTTGTTAGATTAGTCCGAAGCAAAAGGAATCAGAGCCACAAAAGGTCTTTGCTCTGATGACTATTAGTGGAAGTGAATAGTATAATTGGTTTCACTACACAAACATTCAGATATTAATTATTATTTTATTATTTTAGCCATAACCAAACTTATATCGTGATAATGGAACCAAGTTCAGTTATCAATATATTACCCAATTTGAGTGTAAAGCAAAAATAAAAAAAATACAGAAAACATATCATTTTCTTAAGAAAACGAAGCAAAGAGAACATATTATGCTTGTCATATTTTAAAAAAAAAAATTCGAACACTGGAATATTTCTAACATTTTGAGTTTTTTTCCAGGGTTAGAAAATCAGCACTGCTCAGTGTTAGTCATTGTAAATCTTCAAAACTGACTAGGTTACTTTTAAAAATATAACACTGTCAAAAGTGTTCATTTAACACTCATCAGTGTTATATTTAACACTCAGAGGAGTGGACACATATAGACACTCTCTAGTGTTAATTTAACACTGGAGATTTTGCTGTGTGGTGTGTGTGACACGCTGAACTAAAGTCCACAAACAGGACCCTGGCATAAGTTCCCGGGCGGTCAAGGTGTTGCAGGATATAATGCAGCCCCATGTTCACTGCATCATCCACCGACCAGTTTTCCCGGTAGGCAAACTGCAGGGGGTCCAACTGGTGGCCTGTAATGTCTTTCAGATGGGCTAACACCAGTCGTTCAAAGGATTTCATGACCACAGACGTCAAGGCGACAGGTCTGTAATCATTCATTCCTGTAATGGTGGGTTTCTTGGGGACCGGGATGATGGTGGAGCATTTGAAGCAGAAGGGAACTTCGCACAGCTCCAGGGATCAAATAGCAATACCCTGAGGATCTGCCTTTTATGTGACAGGGCAACAGAGATTTAGTGTTTTAGTTAAATAAAAATAGAAAAATTACTTAATGAGTAGTATTTTGAGGTTTTGACATTTTTGACATTTCAGTGTCTTTAAGTTATTAAAACTGAGTCTTTAATTTTACCTCTGAAACCTCTACATACACAAAATAGAAGTGTTCTGTTTGTGTGTGTACCTATTTCTGATAAGTGATAGGAGGTCCAGCTCTTTTCAAAACTCCTTTGACATGGCTAACTTAAAGGAGCTGGTTCTTGACTCCCTAAGGACTATGTATGTATTCTGAGCTGTTAAACCTAATTTAACAATTATGAATGGATAGTGTGTGGGTGTGTGTGGTGGGAAGCAATTTTTTATTTAGTCTTTTATAAAAGACTTATTTTTTGAATTTGCTACTACAACAACATAGCACCTGTGATTTAAGGTTCGGACCAAAAGTTTGAAATCTTTTGTAATGAAAATTGACTCAAATTGATTGATTGATTTTAATATTCATAAAGTTTTCACTTTTATTTAGAAAGTACGTATTCAAATGTTTAGAAAGCATTATTGTAGGTTGTGGTTTTGTTCAGTGTTTAAGATGATGGTGATCTGCAAATGGTGTTCAGAGCTCCAGGGCAGGTTAGGTTCAACCACACCGGGTAAAGGTGGCGATCATGTGGATCTGAGTGCCATAACTGTAAATGTATTAAATACAGAGATCACACACACATTGACAGGTAGACAATTGGGGCGACTGTGGCTCAGGGGGTTGGGAAGCGCATCTGTAACCGGAAGGTTGCCGATTCGATCCCCGGCCTCTCTGTCCTGGTCGTTGTGGGCAAGAAACTTTACCCTACCGCCTATTGGTGTTGGCCAGAGGGGCCGATGGC